TGTGTGTGTGTGTGTGTGTAGCCTGCTTGTTGTTAGTATTACAGCCGATTGTGGATGTGTCCCATCACGGAATCCATATACGGCCTTCATTCTTGTTTAGCTACACGCGACATTCACTGATTTTTTTTTCGATTACACTGTTTCTCCTCTTCTATATGCTATTATGCATGTACGTTTGTGTACTCTAACCCTTTCATTCTGCCTCTCACTCCAGTAGACTTCTTGGCTTTGTCATTAATATGTTGTGTTGTTCTTTCCTTTGCCCCCTTCTTAGTTGGGGATGCATGAGTAAAGTGCGTCTGTCTAGTGGTGTGTGTGTGTGTGTGTGTGTGTTTGTTTTCCATATGCTATTGCCTTCTTGCTCCCCCTCCGAAACTGAAGAGAACCGTACAGCAACACAGCAAGGGAAAACCGTGGGAGGGTGCCGCTTTCCTTATTTGTTGCTGTGTAGTTCTCTGCTCTACTGTTTGTTTTGTTGAAAGGAGCTACAGCATTTTTCAGCTTTCCTGTTTCTCCTCCTCCTTTTACTTGTCCTCCTCCTTTTACTTGTCCTCCTTCTCCTCCTCCTGCACCTCCACTACTACTCGGATGCTATTGTTATGCTGCCAACTCTCACCATCGGTGTGATGGTCTCTACACGCCATGCGGGGGTTTCTCTGCCATCCCGCTGCCACGCCTTCACAATCCACTCTTTTCTCTGCTCCTTTGGTTGCTTTTCACCGTTGCTGCTGCTGCTGCTGCTGCTGCTGCTGTTGGTGCCTGCTACACCACACCACTCTACACACGTACACGTGAACCGTTGCCGTATAAGAGGTGGAACGCAGACACGCAGCACGCTGCGGTGGAGAACGAAATCACAAGAACAAGAGGCGTTTGAAGCACATGCGAGTGCGGACAAGGCGTGAGGGTGTGGATGACGCCTTCGCCGTCGCTGAGCCTTTTTGCGACATCACAAGCGCCTTTGTCGCACTCCATGAAAAAGAGAGCATGAACTCCGGTGCTGCTGCTTCTTCTGTGCGTTATAACGTGCGTATCAACTCCCGCACAGCTCTCCTCCTCTGTCGCACCCTGCCACTGTGTGCCCACACCCCCGGTGCGGTATCTACTGCAGGAGCGGCTTCTGGTAAGGGCAACAGCACTGCAGCCACCACACCAGCGGAAGAGGAGGTGTGCGCTGCTCTCATGGGTGCCGAGGATGAGGTGGACCGGTACCGCACCTTCGTGCAGCTCTCCCACACACTCGAGGGCGCATTTCACTGCCGCGGCGCCTTCTGCGACGGGGATGAGAACGACAGCAACGACCCGCTCAACGCCAAGGCGCGCGACTGGTCGCTGTTAACCCCCCAGGAGTCCCGGGAGCTGCCCGCACGCTGGGTGATGCAGAGCCTGAACGACATGGCGGAGACGCACACGCACCGTGAGGCGTTGACGCTGCTCGACCGTGGCGCGACTGTTCGCCTTCGCCACGGCAGCGACGGCGACGGCGTGGCGGCGCTGCACAAAGTGGTGGACGTCGCCGACATGGCTGGAGGACAGTATTGGGTCGACATTGAGCCGATAACGACAACAACCCCATCAGACGGAGCAGCGGCATCTGCAGGTCGGCGCCGCGTCGAGCGCGAGGAGGTGGCGCTGCAGCCGCCGCAGCCGCTGTACGTGGACGCGCTGCTCCCGGCGGATGAGGCGTGCAGCGCGCGTGGCACCTCCACGTGTCTCTTCTTCGCCGCAACACTTGCCGTGCGTAGACTGCGCCCCACACACGCGGCGGCCGCTGCGCAGGTGCGGAGGGGCCTTCCAAGGACTATCGCCGTCCGCATGGGCCACTGCGCGAGGGAGGCGCGAACACAACTGCACGCGCGCCATTTGTCGCGGCGCAGCGGTGAGAGGGACGCGGTGCAAGGCGGCGTGATGGAGGTGCAGATGACGCGTGACTGCGTGACACTGCGCTACGGGGGGCAGACAGTGGAGGTTCTGCAGCGCGTACTCGAGCGGCTGTCACTCTTGTGGGACGCGCGGGTGCGANCGGAAGGGGAGGGGGGGAACGGCGCGGAGGCCCAAGTCTTGTGGCGGCGTGTAGTGGCACAGCAACAGGAACAACAGGATCAGGGCCTGCCGCAGGAGGTGAAAACAGAAACAGCAATAGCACCATCATCATCAAAAGAAATGGACGGGTTGTATGTCTTTACCACGCGGGAACCATTCTTTCTGCGTGTGTTCACGATGCTGCTGCGTTACCGCGCACTGCTTGGTGATTTGGGCTACAATCAGGGCCCACATGCGGCGGTGCCACCGCTCGTGCTGCAACACCTGCACCAGGCCTTTGACGTGCAGTGCGAAGCCTTCGCCAGTCCACTCAATGCGCAGCTGCCACAGTTCGGCTCTCTTTTCCCCGATACAGATTTCTATTTTGGCAGCCTTGGTGCTTTCTTCGACCTCTCGCTTGTCGCCGGGCACTACGAAGTAAACCCGCCCTTTGTCACGGCCCTGCTGCAGCGCCTGCAGACCTTTCTGCTGCACGACGCCCTTCCCAGGCACGACAGTGAAGACGCGGCGTCAATGCTCTTCGCCATTGTCTTGCCGTCACACGAC